TACCAGTTTTAGAGCATAGATTTGTACAGAGATCAATTGATGGCAGGAAGTTCTATTTTAAAAGTTCTATTTTAAAAATTTGCTACAAAAATTCATGAAAAAAGTTGACAAAAATGGCAGTGAAGATAGAGAAGGGAGGCTGGAACAAGAGTTCTCTCTAAGTCAGTATAACAGTGTTTATGTTATCACTTGCTTAAAAGGCATTCTTATGGGTTGAACTATCCACCTTCCCTTACCCACCAACCCTAATTCATATGTTGAAGTCTTCATGCCTAGAACATCAGAATATGAACATATTTGGAGATAGGATCTTTACAAAGGGAATTAAATTAAAATGAGTTTATTATGGTGGGTCCTAACCCAAGATGACTGGTATCCTTGTAAGAAGAGGAAATCATCTCGATCTGTACATACATGGGTATGTACATGGGTATGTACAGATCGAGATGATGTGAACACATATGGAGAAGACAGACATCTACAAGCCAAGGAAGGGGGCCTGGAACAGATCAACCCTGCTGACAACTTAATCTTAGACTTCTAGCATCCAGAACTGTAAGGCAATTTCTGTCTTTTAAACTATGCAGTCTGTGGTACTTTGTTACGGCAGCCCTGGCAAACTAATACAGAAATATTATTGTATATGCTTAAATCTGTGTTATCAAGGATAATACACACAAAAATTAATAATAGTGGTTACCTTTGAAGGGGCAGTGTTGGGAGCAGATCTTTTACTATACACATTTATCATCATTATTTACTAATATGAATATAATAATATTGAAACATACAATTTTAATTAAAGAGAAGACAAACCTATGTTGAGGAAAAATTACTGTGATTGATTAATATCAATGCAGGGATGGGTAGTTGAGAAGGAAATTGAAGACATTAATGTTTTAGAATGCTGATTGGTGATAATGCTTTAAAATTACAGGAAAATGGTGACTTTCACTTTATGCATGTTGAATTTTATGACTGAGATACACCCTCAGAGATACCCCATTCTGCATCTAAAAATAAGCTAATAGGACTGGGGGACAATCTTAGGGTTGGCACGTACCTTATTATTTCATTGACTATGAAACTATGTATTTTAGAACTCAAGAAGTTAAAGTATGCTAAGCATTGTTGAAATATAGAGCTTAGAGGTTGAAGTATGTTAGTTCAAGGCCAGAAAAGGTGAAGAATGGGACTGGACTGGGGAGGATATGGGCATTTATGGGTGGCAACAGAGGAGTCAGTGAAAAAGATTGAGAAGAAAAGTTAGTTAAGTAGGAGTTGAAATGGAATGAAATCGTGTCTAGGAAGTCGTGTGAGAATGCTTAAGATGCAGCAAGATGGGCTGAAGGTTCAAAAAGTTTGATATGAATATGGACTATAAAATTAGAAATTTTGTTTTAAATTTGAAATCTTATTTATGTCTTTATGACTAAGTGAAAACAAATAAACAAATAATTTTGTTAATCTTTCACACACTTAATGACAAAATGATATTTGTTAATTCTCATCACCAAATATATACAGTTGACCCTTGAGCAGCACAGGCTACAATGCCACAGGTCCAGGTCCACCTGTATGTGGATTTTTTTCCCAGCCAAACACAGATCCAAAATACAGTATTCATGGAATGTGAAACCCACCTATGCAGAGGGCTAACTTAAGTGGGTTGTACAGGACCAACTGTAGGTGTTGAGTATGTGCTGATTTGGTTAAGCTTTTAAATTATACTTCCGCATGTTGAGGTGAAATAAGTTTTTTCTGAGTATGGAAGTAATGTAATGATAACCATTGTGGAAAAATTTCTAAATACAAAAATATGAATCCCAGAACTTTGAGAGACCAAGGCGGGTGGATCACGGGGTCAGGAGTTCAAGATCAGCCTGGCCAGCATGGTGAAATCCCATCTCTACTAAAAATACAAAAAAATTAGCCAGGCATTGTGGTGTGCGCCTGTAATCCCAGCTACTCGAGAGGCTGAGGTGGGAGAATTGCTTGACCCCGGAGGCGGAGGTTGCAGTGAGCCGAGATTGCGCCACTGTACTCCAGCCTGAGTGACAGAAGAAGACTCTATCTAAAAAAAAAAAAAAAAAAAGAATAAAAAAATTAAAATGAACTATAATTCCACCACTTAGAAATAGCTACTATTAATATGTAGCTAAATTTGCTTTCATATCTTAAACATAGACATGTGCATGCATTGAGTGACTATACACATGTTTCATTTCTCTCCAACTGCTTTTAAACCTAGCTTTATATCATAAACTAGATCCCACATCATTAAATTTTCTTCAAAAATAATTTTTTATGGTTGCAAAATACTTTACCATGGATGACCCATAATTATTTGATTATTCTTCTTTGACATTTAGGTTGTTTCTAGAATTTCATTTAAAATAATTAGTATTAGGCCAGGCGCGGTGGCTCAAGCCTGTAATCCCAGCACTTTGGGAGGCCGAGACGGCCGGATCACGAGGTCAGGAGATCGAGACCATCCTGGCTAACACGGTAGCCCTGTCTCTACTAAAATACAAAAAACTAGCCGGGCGAGGGTGCGAGCGCCTGTAGTCCCAGCTACTCGGGAGGCTGAGGCAGGAGAATGGCGTAAACCCAGGAGGCGGAGCTTGCAGTGGACAGAGATCCGGCCACCGCACTCCAGCCTGGGTGACAGAGCGAGACTCCGTCTCAAAAATAAAATAAAATAAAATAAAATAAATTAGTATTTAACCCACATTTCTTAAGATATTTTTGGACTAGAATTTTTTTTTTATGCAGTGTATCTCACTGCAACCTCAAATTCCTGGATCACGTGATCCTCCCATCTCAGCCTCCCAAGTAGGCTAGATTACAAGTGCACACCACCACGCTCAGCTAATATTTCTTTAAGGAAAAATTTTGTAGCAGATGGAGTCTTGCTATGCTGTACCAGGCTGAGTCCTTGAACCTCCTGCCTCAAGTGATCCTCCTGCCTGGGCCTTCCCAAAACGTTGGAATTATAGGCCTGACCCTCCACCCAGCCTTGGGCTAGATTGCTAAACGGGAATTATCTTGATAGGTAGTCATGCGCGATTCTAATCACAAGTGTGTATTGTATCCTAGTGTTTATTCTTGAAATGTGTTAGAAAATTACTTCTCTATTTTTTTTTTTTTTTTTTTTTTCCCTGAGACGACTCTCGCTCTGTCCGCCCCAGCCCTGGAGGATGTGCACGTTGGCCCCGATCTCAGCACACTGGCAAGCTCCGCCTCCCGGGTTTACGCCATTCTCCTGCCTCAGCCTCCCAAGTAGCTGGGACTACAGGTGCCTGCCACCTCGCCTGGCTAGTTTTAGTAGACAGAGATAGTGTTCACTGTGTTGGCTATCCTGATTGGTTCTCACATCTTCTGACCTCGTGATCCGCCCGTCTTGGCCTCCCAAAGTGCTGGGATTACAGGCTTAAGCCACTGCGCCCGGCCTACTTCTCTATTAACAATGTAGGAAGATCTTTATCTTGCTAGCATATGAATATTTTCATTAAATAAATCTTCACAGGATATATTTATATTATTTAATATTAGAATATAATAGTCATGTGACTATTCATAGAGTTAACGTTCATTCATTCTGATGGAATCCAAATATCTGAGATATAATAAAGTATTAGCAACACATTATTGACCACCTGCCTTGAAGAGGGGTAGGCATTGATAATAAGAAAGAGCATAAGAGATGGTTACTGCCTTACTCACACATTTTCTTTTCTGAATATTTGTTCTCTAGGCTATGTGTAAAATACGTTAGAACCCTTCTTTCTATTCCAAAAGGGCATATAAAAATTATAAGCTACTAACTATAGCTGCTACTTCCTCAAATAGAACAAACCGTTTCAGCCTAAACTGGTAGGGTTAAGAAGGGTGACTGAGTTATAACAGATCCTTCTATCTATATATGTATACAGGTGGCAAATGCAGTAGTAAACCAGTGCATAGTGTCTTATGTTTAAAGTGAAAATTGTAATTAAAGAGGGTGTTCTTTCCTACTGGTAGTACTTTATCATAGAGGCCTTGTCTATCTTGTGAGTTCTAAAAGAACAATTAAAAGCGATACTGTTTCTGTTACAGTGAACCGCACACATTTCCCTTATATTAAATATGCATTTTAACTTAATAAGATTCCTTGGCGTGTTTTAAATATCTTGAGTGTAATATGTATTTTAAATGATTACCATGACTTCTCCAAATCTTGGATTTATGTATTAGCTTGCATGACCATAATGTGATGCTAATTTGCCAACCACATTATCTCACGATTGCTGTATTTGTGTTCTCAAACTTAAGTATTTGCTCAGTTAACTATATTTTATTTTTGAAGATAGACTCTGAATTGGCATATGGGGAATACAGTCTAAATCTTGATTATCTAAATAGATGTTTGCTCTCTTTTAACATAGAATTTCTTAGTTCTGAATCTTTAACTTTTTTTAAAGAAAGGGAGAATCATATCACTAATATGAATGCTTTGAACTCTTAATAACTATGGCTGTTAGTTTTTTATGTCTTTGTCTTCCCTCTCTAGTTATATGAAAAACTATAGTACTTAAGGCCTAGAACTGTACTTTGGACATCTTTTTATTTCCAGCAGGCCCTAGCATAGAACATTAAAAACTAGACGGTCAGCCAACATTTTTTAAAAATTTACTTATAAAGTAAAAGTTAAAAAAACTATAGATTATTACTGGTCATAAATGTAAAAACATTCAAAATGTTTGGTCATTCTGGTATTTTGTTAGAAGCCCAATGTGCTATCTATTGTGCCAGAGAGCCAGGTTCATTGTGGTATTTTGTAATGGGCAAATTGCCATCACTTTTTACTGTTGCGTGAAAATGTAAAACGAGGTAGGTAGTGTTTCTGTGTTTATTGAACTTTATATTTGGACTAGCTCTGTATGCAACAGAGCCATGTTCATTGAAATCATTACTTTTTCTCATGCATTTTGTCTGTTTTATTGCCATGTGATTTGTAGGGACTCCCGAGAGCTTAGCTGAGAAAGAAAGGCAACTCATGGGCATGATCAACCAGCTGACCAGCCTACGAGAGCAGCTGTTGGCTGCCCACGATGAGCAGAAGAAACTAGCTGCCTCTCAGATTGAGAAACAGCGTCAGCAAATGGAGCTGGCCAAGCAGCAACAAGAACAGGTGAGTAAGAACTTAGCGACGCAGTCAAACTCCTCAGACATTGTTTTGCCTGCTACTTGTAGGTCACTGTCCTAGGCACACAACAATGAATAAGAGTGCCTTCCACCTCCCTCGTTAAATAAATTAAAAGGCCAAAAACAAAACAAAAACCCACCCACAGACAAAACCCAGATTTTAAGATGCTTATTAACTACTTTGGTGGTAAGGAGCGCAGAAGTAATTTTAATCAAGGTCAATTCTGATAAATCATGAGAAAACTACCATAAAAGAACCATGGAGAGTCAAGAGAACATTTTCAACAAGACACATTTTGAAAGAATTCATGAGAGAGCTGACATTTGAGATATGCTTTGAAGAACTTGTGGGCTTCAACAAGTAAAGTGAGTTTTCAGCTGGGGGCAGGAAGTTCAGTTACAAGGTCATTATAATACTTTAAATTAAAAAGAGTGAGAAGCTAAATTAGTCAGGGTAATGACCATGGACAAAGAGATGAAAGGAATACACAGGTGGAAGAGTTATGGTTAGTAGAGTTCTTTGAGTAGGCAAAAGGGAAAGAAAGGGAAAGTGTTGAGCCTAGTGATAGGGAGGTTGAGAATGCCATCACCAGAAACAGAGGAAGTCAGAAGAGCAAGTTTGGAAAAAGAGAGTGGTTTTATGATGTTGAATTAGAGCTGCTGTCAGGTTTTCTAGTTGGAGGTATGTGAGAGACAGCTAGAAACACCAATCCGCACTTTGGAAGAGAGCTCAGGTGTTTCTTAGGTTATTTACAGAGAAATGGTGGTTTAAACTCTACTGGAGGAGATAACATTCATTCATTTATTTGACAAATAGTAATCTAGTGCTTCTTATGTGCCAGACACTGTACTAACTAATTACTGACAAAGCCCCTAAATTTTAGTGGAAAGAAAGAGACATATAAAGGAACAGATAAATTAACTAAATGATATTATATAGTGATAAATAATTTGAAAAAATATAAACAGAGTAATAAGATAAAAGTCGATTGCTATGACAAGGCAATGCTCCTTAGATTGGGCGGCTAGATCTTTCTGAAGCTTTGGCAATTGAGCTCAGATCTAAATGACATACAAAAGGCAGCCATGTTAATATCGGGGACAGGAGTGTTTTATGCAGAGATGTGGCAGGCTTATAGGCCTTAATTTATAGTGGTAATATTACAAGAAAGCAGAAAGGAACTAAGGGTAGATCCTTGGGAGATACTGGCTTATATAGCTGGCAGAGAAAGGAAAATGAACATATGCAGAAAGAATCAGATATGGAAGTGGGGCCAGGAGTGCAATGTCATAGGAAACAATGGAGATTTTTAAGGAGAGATACAGGGAGCAGTGTTAAATGCTACAGAAAAGTAGTCATTCTAATATGAAATTGAAACTACTAGATTTTTCATTTAGATTCTCATTGTTGGCCTTGAAGAGTAAGACTTCTATAGTGTTTTAGTAGCCGAAATCAGACAATAAAAACTGGAAAATACGTAGTAGAAAAATGGAGGCAATGCCTATGAACTATTAGTTAAAAAAAAATTGGTAGTAAATAGAAGGTAAAATAGAGGGTAAGTGACACAGTTTCAGCTTACAGATAAGTATGGCCCTCTTTTTCATGGCTAAGTCCTTTTCCTGTTCCATGTTCTGGGCATAGTCCATTCACCACCCCAAGTGGAGGATGGCCACTATTTAATATTTGTGTGTCTACACATCCCTGCAAAACCGTCTAAACATCTTTCATAGTATAAGCCAGCAGGATTGAATGGCATGAAGAAATACTGTTTATGTTTGAGGAGCCCCTTTTTTCTACCCTCTTATTTCCATTCTACTCTTCTCTACTTGGTGGTTTATGTCTGTTAAAAGATGTTAGTTTTATTTTTAATGAAATGCCTCATCACTTTCATTAAAGATATATTTGGCTTGCTTTTGGATACGGCCCATATGCCTCTTGCTTTATCCCTATGAGAAAAGAGTTCAGAATGCTTGCCTGTAACAGCATAAAAAAACACCACTCTTTTCTTATCCTTAACTCTCAATCTTTCAGTCAACTGAATTCTGGAGAATCCTAGGAGCCTCTGAAAATGTAGCTTGGCTGGGGATATTTTTTGTAAATAATCCCTATTTGCTTTGATGGGTCTGAGGGCACACATGTCCTGAAAGATCTAAGCAATGACTGATGGAGAGGAAGTTTCTTTCTTATCTCTTTCACATTCTAGCCTATCCCTGAATATTATAAAAGGATTCTAGAATCCTTTGATTCTAATACTTTCCCAAGACCTCTGACATTCTCCTTGGAACTTTACAAACCCCTAGGTTCTTCAAGAATTTCTCTCCTGTGTTGGAGAGACGTCCTGCAGTGCTGCCTCTACAGCCTGAGAGAAGATCCCTGGTGATAGCTACAGGACATGTTTCTAGAGCCCATTCAGCTCTCCCAGCGCTTCTCTGCCATACATAGCAGGCATGCACAGTTACCACTCTGTGGTGGCAGATCTTTTCATGAAGGGCATTTAATACTTATTCTTTAAGGGTCAGGGCAGGTTCATCTTCTCCTGCAAAGTCTTTTTCTGACACTCCTCCCAGCACTCCCTACTGAGTGTAGAATGTCTCCATTCTGTGCATTCTAATACTGCTGGTATAGCTGTTACAAAAGCTAAAGGACCTGTTTACTGCCAAGTCTTTCCCTCAGATTCTGAGCTCCATTCCACATTCATCTATTAGATAAATATTCATTGACCACCAATTTGGTGCCAGGTTTTGTTCTAGTTAGTGGGACTAGAGTAGGGGGATAAAACAGACAAAAATCCCTTGTGTACTGAAATCTAGCTGGGAGGGGTAGACAATAAATAAACCAGTAAACTATATGTTGGTAAGTATTATGTTGAAGAAGTAAGCAGGGCATTGGGGATGAGGGTATGATCTATGGCAATATGTTCTTTTAAAACGGGTGCTCAGGGAAGACATTATTGACTGAGAACATTTGAGCAGAAACCTGTAGGAGGTGTGGGAGTGAGCCATGGGGCTGTCTAGGCAGAGTATTCGAGACAGAGCGAAATGTAAGTGCAAAGGCCCAGAAGCAGGAGTATCCTTGGGAGGCAGGAACATCCTTGGTGTGTGCAAGAGGCAGTTAGGAATGCAATGTGGCAAGCATGAGGGTGAAAGGGGAGGAGATGAAATCAGACAGGTAGCACGAGGCCAAAACATATAGGGCCTTGCAGGCATTATATTCACACCGGCTTTTTGCTGAGTGAGAGAGAAGTGTTTTGGAAAGATGAATAGCATGACATGATACATACACACACACACATATATTTTTATATATATATACACACACATATATATTTATATATATTTATATATTTTATATATATATAAACCATATGTATATTTATATGGTTTATATATATATAAACCATATGTATATTTATATGGTTTATATGTATATAAATATATATATATGGGTTTTTTTGTTTTTTTGGGGACAGAGTCTCACACTGTCACCTAGGCTGGAGTGCAATGGCATGATCTCGGCTCACTGCATCCTCCGCCTCCTGGGTTCAAGAGATTCTGCCTCAGCCTCCTGAGTAGCTAGGATTACAGACACCCTCCACCATGCCTGGCTCATTTTTCATATTTTCAGTAGAGACGGGGCTTCACTATATTGGCCAGGCTGGTCTCGAACCCCTGACCTCGCAGTCTGCCCACCTCAGCCTCTCAAAGTGGACTCATATTTTAAAAAGTACTCTCAGGATGCTGGTCTGTGATTGACTATAGGGAGCAGGAGCAAAAAGCAATTGAAATATTGATATGTGGGAGGAAGGAACTAGACTTAATGAGAAAGGTAATCTTCCTTCTACTGTCTCTTTTACCACTTCCTTCAGGAAAAAAAAAAAAAATTGTGCGTCGGGCACGGTGGCTCATGCCTGTAATCCCAGCACTTTAGGAGGCTGAGGTGAGTGGATCACCTGAGGTCAGAGTTCAAGACCAGCCTGGCCACCATGGTGAAACCCTGTCTCTAGTAAAAGTACAAAAAAATTAACCAAGCATGGTGGTGGATGCCTGTAATCCCAGCTGCTCGGGAGGCTAAGGCAGGAGAATTGCTTGAACCCAGGAAGCGGAGGTTGCAGTGAGCCGAGATCACGCCATTGCACTCTAGCCTGGGCAACAAGAGCAAAACTCTGTCTCAAAAAGAAAAAAAAAAGAAAAGAAAAAAGAAATAAAAAAATGTATTTTTTTTTACTATATTCCAAAGATAAAATTAAAGCATTAAAATAATTATAATTATATCAACATCCATAGGGAAATACATTTTTTTGTGCAGCCATGTAGACTCATCGTTATCACATGGGTTCTTTTATTCACGGTGATGTGTGAGTTTGTTCCTGAGTTTTTGACTTTTGGGTATAGAGGTTAAGAGATTTTTTAAAAAATAAAAATGTTAGTGACTATTACTTGATGAGAATGGGATCTAGAACTTATTTATAAGAGACTGATAAGTTTCAAGATGTTAGAAGTTACATCCTATCCCATGTGATGAAATATTTGCAATTTTCATTTCATCCATTCATGCATTCTTATCAGATATCCATTCAGCATTGCTTTTATAATGGACTTGCTGAGAACAGTGGGTAAAATATACATGGCCTCTACCCTCACTGAATTTATGCACTTCTCCCTAGGAGACAGAAATATGTTAATAACAAATAGATAAACAAATATAAAGTCATAGCATGGGTGTAATATTAAGTAAATGTAGAAGGTATCATAAATGCAAATAACAGTGGGAGTGGGAAGTGATTGTCCTGTTCTCTAAGTTAGGAAATACTTAAGATGACTATATGGAAGGCTAAATCTCAAATTTAGTTTGGGGCTTGTTGAACTTGAGGTTCCTTTGAATAAGTCTCTCAATAAACGGACCTGATGCTTAAAACAAAGGTCTAGACCAGAGAAGCAAATTTAGAAGCACTTGGCTTACATATGGAAGTAAGTACGAAGGAAAAGAACAGAGTCTAAAATTGAGTCTCAGAGAATTATAACATTTAATGTCTGGAAAGAGCCATTAAAGGTGACTAAGGAGAAGACGTGAGAGGCAAAGATGAAACCAGGGAAGTATGATGATGTCACAGAAGCCAACAGATAAAGTTCATGATCAGGGGAAAGCATTTGAGTGTTGAATTCTAATGAGAGGTCAAAAGGTGACGACTGAAAAATGCTTCAGAATTTTAAAATAATGGATGTGATTGGCAACCTTCTTAAGAATCATTTTGGTAGAGACATGGAAGCAGAAACCACAGTAGTATGCATTGAGTTGTTGGTTAGGGGTTTGTGAGAGGCAGTAATAAGAAAATTATTTACCTACAAACAAAAAAATACAAAAACTTTACTAATAAATACAGTGTCTTGCAATACTTTGTGCTACTCCGAACTCCTGTCTTAAACCTCCCCCTCCCCATTTGTGAAGCACTCTGTCATAGTGAAAGGCTGAAAATGTCAGAAGCAACACCTTTCTTAGTATATCACCAGAAAGAGGAATGTTTGAAAATCAGACATTTCTTTCTGGGATTGATCACTGACTGTCCTAGTATCTTAGTCTTCATTTGTTTTAGGCCAAAAGAAACATAACTGTTCCTAAAGACTAAATATCTTCCTTGATCTTAGGATGAATTGTGGAAAATTTCAGAGCACAGACACATCTGTTTTCATCATCTTAATCAGTGTCAAATCAAACTTTGTGAAACAGAACATTAGTAACTTCCCTCCTGGACTCCAATATACTTGTAAATTTCTCATGTGCAATTTCTTCACAGATTGCAAGACAACAGCAGCAGCTTCTGCAGCAACAACACAAAATCAATTTGCTCCAGCAACAGATCCAGGTCAGAAATCATAATTTCAATATACTTACAATTTTAAAAAAATATTTTCTGTCTTATCCTTAAATATCTAACTGAAATGACCTCCAAAATAAAATGACTTCCAGGCTAATTCATGACATAGCACCTCCTCTGCCAGGCGAATCTTGCAAATGGTGTCTGTCAGTCACAGGCCCTACTGTGTCAGGGAGCTTCAATCTAAGCAAGCTAACAGTTATTTTCATCTTATGCTGAGAAGAAATTATTGTAGATGAACGTTTCATTTTATCTATATTTTAATGTTAAATTGTGTCTATAAGAGTTCTTAACTGGGTAGGTGCAGGGAACCAAAGCAGAAAGGTACCTAGGTTTTCAGTTAGAGAAGTAGTGCCAGAGAGAACTTTATTATTGTATGCCAGAGAGCCATGTGTGATAAAGGTGGAACACAGGGACGGTAATAATTTGGTGTTGAAGTTGATTTACCTGTGGTTTTGCCTGGAGAAAACAAGCCTAAAGGCTGTAGGACCTCCATATTTTCGTTATTTGGAAATTTGCAATGATAAGGAGCATCAACACAGGAGGCAGCAGCCGCATTGGTAACAGAAAGGAAAAAAGTTTCCAGTGATGTCTTGTTTCCACCACTTGCTAGTGTCATAAACTTTGACAAAAGTTCAGCTTTGTTTCCCTTCTGACAGTTTACTTTCTCAACAGCACTTACTTTATATAGAGATTTTTGAGGATTAAAGGAAATCATGGATAAAGAGCCTTAGCATAGTGTCAGGGCACATAGTAAGTGCTCAGTACTCACTTGCTGTGACTCTCAAGGAACCTAATTGGTGGAGCTGTGAATCCAACCCCATGTAACATCATCCATCTGGAGGCAACTGTCAGCTTTGCAGTATGCTAATCTGGAGAGAAATTCATGATTCTCTTGAAGTTATATCTTGAGATCCAACATATTTTATTAAGTGTAAATATCATAAATGACAGGAAGCAAATGTGTCAAAATTATTTCACTCTTGTATTAATCCTGTTTTAACTTCTTTGCCATCCAGATTTCTCCCATTGTATCTAATTGAGTCAGGCACACATAGTTTCGATGGATTTAACGGACCTGTCACTGTTCCTTCTTTCTTATTCTACCTAGGATTTTAATGACCTGTACATAGCTTCAGTGAGACAGTGGAAGTTCAGTAAGATGTTCCAGCCAGGGACCTTTCCCCTCCTTAACTGTAATTATGATCAGCACATTTCTAACATGTTATAATCCATTCATATCTGAAGTGTGGTTATTCATTTCAGTGGTTTAAAACTGTTCATTGAACTTCATGTTGTTCAAAGTACACTGACTTTAGTCGATGGTAGCTGGTTATCTGCATTTAAAATTTTTTAAATTATCAAAACATAGGTATTAATATTGTTATGGCACTTTCCTTTTCTAAGTAAGGTAATTCCATAATCAGCAACGTGGTAGTCACTTGATTTCACGGCAATTTGACAAGTGTACCAATAGTTTTAGATTTTTATAATTTCTGTGATACTGAAATCAGTCCTCGGTTATACAGAATGGCAAACAGATTTCAACTCCTATTGTAAATGTGTGTAAGGCTCAATTAACTGTTCTGACCAATTATATTAGCCAACACCTTCAGTGCTTTCTTAGGAATCATTCCACAATTATGACCACTACATTCACAATGTGGATTTTAAGCCCTGTCATAATGACAGAAAGTTGAAATGGATAGATTCTTGCTTCAGAGCATGAAGCACTATAATTTATAAGTCAGAACATTTTTAATGAAAAGCACTTAAAAATTATATGTTCTAGAAATTCTATAACTATAGGAACTATATTCCAGAGAGCAAAGGCCAAGTTTAACAACGTGCCCAAGACCACACAATTAGAAACTGTAGAGCTAGGATAAGAAGCAAAGTTTTCTGACTATAATAGAACTTGTGTGGATTATGAGAATTTTAAAAGCGTAGAATTTCTATTTGATCCAAGTGTTAAGCGGCCAGCCTCTACTATTTCAGAGTGGGAAAAGAAAACGTCCCTAAAGGAAATAAAGTCACACTGAAAGTAATTTGAGGGAAACATTGAGATATTGAGATATAGAAATATATTTGTCTTCTTTCTAGGGTTAGTGCAGATAAATGAAACTGACAGAGTCAAAACCCTTTCAGGCAACAAATAAGTACTCAGCAAGACTGATAACCTGAAAGAAATTCGTTTTCACAGCTTCCAGCATATTCATTAACTAAAAGTATAGTTCTGAAATATATTTTGTCAATGGATAATTTGGAGAAGTCTTAAAAACGCTTAATAGTTACGAAAGTAACAACATATTTGAATTATTTAGTCTACTCTGAGATTGTTCAAACAATTATGTTAAGCTCTGATGTGGTGGAATATGTAGAAATAGGACATTAAAAATGTAGAACAGACTAATTTTCCCACCACATAAATCATTGCCATATTTCATTTTAGAATGTTTTTTCTTCCCTTTTCTCCTTCTTCCTACTGCCTTCTTTTTCATGGAAGCATAGGGAAGGATGAAGACTAGTAAATATAGAATCTGCTATCATGAAAGGCAATTGGAGTGTATAACAAATATTTTAAGATTTATTTTAATTAAAAATGGATATATAATTGAATGCTCACAAAATAATTTACCATATATTATCTTGACATTTGAAAATACTCATCTAGAATTTTGATCTACTTTTTTTTTTAATACAGTGCCTTGATACCTTGTAGAAATAAAGATACTAACTTAAATTATTCATCCTGATTGTACTCCTTAGATGTTTTGTACCATTGTTGCTCCGGACCTTAGAAAACAATGCATATATTGATGGAGTAGTAGACTGTAGTGTTTTATAGTCTACAATTAAGTATGCCTTTAAAATGTTTGTTTCCTATATGAATACAAAATACATTATCTTGGTCCAGTTTTAGCAAAGGAATCCAATACATCAAATGGGTTAGACAGATCTGCTGTGTGGATTCGATTGATAAGAGTTAGAGCTGGGCAATTTTTTTCGTTTGATGGATATGTCAAATGACAGCGAAGATAATATTTTCCTACATTGTGCTCATTGTTCTTGTGAGATCTCGCTAAAGGAGAAGTCAATTTAGACATCTTTATTACATTTGAAATATATGTCATTTGATTTAAAAAGCATGAACAAGTTTGTTTGTTTGTGTGTATGCACAAACATTTACATACTCTAATACCCCGGTATATTACTCAGGGTTCCCCAGAGTCACAGAATCAATAGAAGATATAGATATAGATGATACAGATAGATATAAATATAGATGTAGATATAGATAGATATGTGAGAGGGGACTTACTGGGTGATTGGCGTGAGCCAATGATGGAGGCTAAGTCCTGCAACAGGCCTTCTGCAAGCTGGAGACCCTGGGAGGCAGGCAGCATGGTTTTCAGTCCAAGTCCAAAGGCCTCAGAACCAGGGAAGCTGTTGATAAAACTTTCACTCCAAGGCCAGTGGCCTCAGAACCCAGGAAGCTGCAAGTGTAAGTCCTGGAGTACAAAGACAAGGAGCCTGAAGTTGATATCTAAGGACAGAGGAAGAGTGTATCCCAGTCCCACCAGATAGACCCACGCATTCACTTTTTCTCTGTTTTTGTTCTCTCTGGATCCTCAGAAGATTAGATGGTCCCTGTCCACATTGAGAGGGTGAATGTTCCCCACCTAGGCCGCTTAGATTCACGTGCTAATCTCCTCAGAAAGCAACCTCACAACACACCACAGCATAATGTTTTACCAGGTTGCTAGGTAATCCTTAATCCAGACAGCTTGACACCTAAAATTAATCATCACATCCAGGTTATTTCAAGTTTCTCTTGGCATTTTTAATTCTTTCACAACCTCTGATGAAAAGAGTGGTGATACATTTAACTGGTAGTAGGTAACTGGTGGTAGGTAAACTTACTCTAGAGAAAACGCCGTAAGAGTCTGCAAGTGAACCAGTTTTATTGAATTGCTAAGGTCAGTTCTATATGAACTATTTTTATTTCTTTAAAAAGCAACCTTAGCTCTAAAACTACATAATTCTAACTGGATTAAAAACTCAATCTACATTTCTTCCTTATAAAGACTTTATAGGGTTACAGTCTTCTGCCAGGTTGACCCACCTAATTCATTAAGGATTAAGAATGTTTTCTGTTATTGTTTGCAATGTCATAAATCAGTTTACAAATACTGGAAACATCCATCTTCCCTCAAGAACATGTCCACTTTTCTATGAGACTCTTAATTTTAGAAGCACTAAGAAGTTTGTCTTATTTTTCTACTATTCAGGAATATTTCCCTCTAATATTTTTGTTGATTGACTTAAAAGAGAATTTTTAAATTTCGATTTACTGTATCAAGCTAACTTTAATGCACATCAATACATGAGATGAAATTTTTAAATATTTAAGAATAAGATATCATTCTAGATTATTTTGGAAGGGAAGCTCTTTTTTTCCCCTCTTATTCTGTTGACTGTTCTACAGTCCCCATCTTTTAGCAATTTTATTTTGTATTTTCTTTTTTTACATCAAATCAACCTGTTTCTAATATTGATAGTTGATTTACGTTTCCAGTAAAGATCCTGGACCAGTGGTTCATCTTGACCTGATTCACTGTTTTACAGGAAGTGACTGAGTGACCTCTACTCAGCTTTCATTATGACGACAAATTGAGTGTTCCTGGAGACCTAAGTTTCCTTTCATCTTGAAGCTTCTGGTGGGACAGGGTTTCTATAGTTTTGGGCATGTGTGTGAGAAGCATGTCCCAGTTATAAGTTTCTTCCCCCTTTTCAATAGTACTTAATGGAATTTAAGGTTCTTTATAGCAACTAGTAGGGCTAATCCGAAAATGTGTTCTATCATGAAATCTACTTGAGATACTTTTTAAGTACAAGTTTAAAGGTACTGTACTTCTTTTCAACTGCATATTTTATGATTCCCATACCAAGGCATCAGTGTTAGAACTTTTATAAGAGATTCCAAA